GCGTGCCTGGGGTGAGTCAGGACAAGCTTTCCAGCAGAAGTGCTGCGCCCAAGACCACGTCCCCACCCCCAGCCTGACCTCCGGGGATGCTTGGGGAGGTCTGGGGGAGTGAGATCTGAGCTGATGGATCAGCAGAGACCCCTAGTGGCCTGGGGGTGGATGGCAGACAGCTGCCCCCCCCACCCCCCTCAGTGGGCTGTACTGCTCCCCCAACCTCTCCCCTGTTTGCCCCCTCCCACTACACACACACACACATACACACACACACACACAATCCTAGAGAAGGGCGTTGGTTTTTCTAAAATCCTCTGCTGGAAGGACCTTGGCAGTGTCATCTAGTTCATGTCCCCTGTTCCACAGACATCCTGGTAAGATAAACACTCCGGCTCTTTCAAAATAACTTAAAGGAGAATTGTTCTCTCCATCTTGTCTTTGCCTTCGCTCCTTCTTTCTTCCTCCCATCAGTTCATTCTAAGAATTTCTTCCTATAGTGGAAATTACGTTTCTTCAGGCAACACAAGCCCTTTCCCTATTCACAGCAAAGACTGGGGGCCCCAGGGACTGACCGAGCTCTTCCTGGGCTGACGCCAGACCATGAGGTCAGAGCCATAGCCATCGCCAGCCTCCTTGTGCCACACGTACCCCACCCGAACACCCTCTGCTTCCAAGAGTAATCCCAGAGCCTCCCACTTTTTCTTAGTAAGGTCTTCCTTTTGAACAAATCATCTTTTTTGGTTCCAGAATGAGATTTGGAGTAAAACTCACCCAGTGACCACTATGGCCCAGAAAGAGTGACCAGTGGCAGCAAGGGCTTTGCAGCTGGTCCACGGGTGGGGTTTAGGAGGTGTGAGCTCTCAGCCGTTCTAAAGCTGCTCCCCTACTTTGCTCTACCTGCTTCTAAGGTGCCCGTTGCCACAGCACACGAGGACCAGCGGAGGGGCAGCTTCTGGGGAGGCCTGTGGAGCCCAGCTTGTGGGTTTCCATCCGAGTCCTGGGTCACCTGGTCCAGGCCCTGAGACATCATTCGCAGGAAACTATGGAAGTTTTCAGCTTTGGGGACTTTTCCTACTTTGAAAGCAAATCTTACTCCTAGAAAGTAGGAGCCCACATACTCCCCAGTTTGGTGGGATGGCCTCACCAAGGAAACCAGGCTTCCAGCAGCCTTTCAGCAGGTTTCAGAGGCTTGGGGACACCCCTGCCATGTTCCTGATGGGACAAGGCAGAGATCTTGAGCTAGATAACCAGTTTGCGCCCCTGGTTCCTGGACAATTTGGGCAGAGACGTGAGGCTCTGGATGCTCAAGAATGTCGCTAAAACTGTACCACATGTGCTTCTCACCTCTTTATGGGCGCTAAGGAGTCTGGAAAGAAACAGCTCTATTTGGGTCTAGACAGAGCAGCATCCACCTGGTTGGGAGTCTGATAAGCCCCAAGAGAAAGCTGTCAAGAAGATAAAAATACTGCATGCTTAGCCAACATTGTTTCCCGAAGGGGTTTCCACTGCTGCCATCGTAGCTGCTTCCTCAGAAAAGACCATAGACTCTTGCCAGAGATTTGGAGCCCCAATGTCTCCGGAGAGACAGAGGCTCCAGAGAGCTAGACCCTGGGCTCCTCCTGAAGTGGCTGCAGTCACATCACAGAGCTCGTCCGAGACAGGGACGCAGCTTCCACTGGGCTTGGCCCGGGCCCGGGAATGCCTGCGGCAGGGAGGCAGGAATGAGGGGGGCCTGTGGTAAGGAATGGCCACTACTTGGTATGCAGCCCCAGACGGATCTCCACAGCTGCTCAGTAGAGAACCCAAGGGGCTCCAGGACTTCTAGGACAGGTTTTAAATCCTGGCCGTGCCAAACTCAGCTCCCGAGTTGAGTGGCTTTAGCCAAAGGAAGTGGGAAGTGATTTATTGGGTGCTTGAATGTGCCAGGCACCCTGCTTACATCGGGCCTGGATGTCTGACTCCAAAGCAGATCTCTCCAAGCGAGCATCAGCACCGCGCTCAGAGCCAGAGGACCCGGGTTCGAGGCTGGGTGACTCTAGGAAGTCACTTTGGTTCTCCAGACCTCAGCTCCTCTTCAGGCAAATGGTAGCAGGGAGATTAAAATGAAAGAACCTGGTAGAAGAATGCAAATATTCTCTGTGTGTAATAAGTAGGTAGTTTCAGACCCATTGATCTTTGGGACCAGCTGAGGGTGGTCATTACAAATACAGATTGCAGAGGGTCCGGTTCAATGACCCTGAGAATCTGTGTCTTTAAAAACAGCACAGGGCTCAGGCCAGTGTGTGAAACAGCTCACATTTACAAATGTTGGGGATGGATATTATTTCCCCAGACCTCAGGGATGCCCAGATTTTCCTTCCTCTTTTTTGCCCAGCTAAGATGTGGTCAGCCCTGGCCCTTTCCATAGTCTCTGCCCTCAAAGCTCTACATTCCATTCCTTTGCTGATAGAACTTGGCTGCCTCTCAGCATGTCCCAGCCAAGGACCCCAGAGTAGGAGGAGAGGGTCGGAAAGAGAAGACTCGGATCTAATGCATAAATTGCCTTTCGTTACCCAAGCCCAGAACCTGGCACGAGGCTTGCAAAACCACAGGGCAGGGAACCAGCCAGAGTCTGAATAAGCAGATGAAGTATCCAGGCAATAGCTCTCACCCTTCTGCCTCCAGCTAGCAAAAATGTGTGTTTGGTTGAATCCCAAGGCACACATCTTGTATTTATTTTACTGCTTTCGCTTGTGTTTTCCTAACCTTGCCGGATACTTTTTTCGGAGAAAAGAAAGTCTGGGGCAACATTTTATATTTGAAACACCCAAATGCCTTTACCCAATGAGGAGCACATGGTATGAATGATTCCCGATGAGATTGTTGAAAAATCATTTCCATTAGTTTTGGGGTGAAAGGCATGGGTGGGACACCCTCTTCAGATACATTTACCTTCCAGCTTTGCTTCAGCTTCAGAGAACATCAGCATTGGCTCACATCCTGTGAGGATGGTTGGCTGGGGCATTGGGACGAGGGCTGAATCAACCTCAGATGGCCACGTAGCTAAAAACAGGCTTTGAGGGCTCCTGGATGTCAGCACTGGGCCAGACACATTTTATAAATGAGACTAAGGCTCCCAGAAGGGCTGTGATTGGCTGATTCTCAAATCCATGGTCTTTCCTCGGTGCCCATGCCGCCTCTGTCTTTCTGGAGTTGGATTGTTTTGCCTGTTATCTTACCTCCAGTAACTATGTACTGAACTCCTGTGGTTCCAGGAGCACCTCGTAGCCCGGTTCTTGGCACAAGGTGGGTGTTCAGTATTTGTGGATGAAGGAGGGCTGTGTTCTAGTCCCATTGCTGCAAACCAGCTGGGGGCCTTGGTTGAGTCACTTGGGTTTCTAAAGCCTCTAGTTCCTTATTTGTGTTCAGGGAGTTGTAGTATGTGGCTTCTAAGGGCTCTTCCAGTTTTTGGGTTTCGAGGGTGGGGCCTCTGTATGAGACTTGAACTCCTTGAGTGGGAAGACCAAGAGTTTGGCTCATCCAAGAAACTCTAGAACTTCCCTGGAGGCTGAAAGCCCAAGCTTCTTCCAGTCTTAAAGCAAAAGTTGGGAAGCCAGGGGCCTTCTTTCCTCTCGCCCCTAACCCCCAGTTGTAGTCTATTTTCTTGACTGCACCTATCTGAATTCTTACATCTCATGTGTTATGACTCGAAGCTTTGAGCATGAGAGCGTCAGCCCTAGAGGGTCATCAGATAGGCTACCTGCTTCAGCCCTGTTTTCAGATGAGGAACCGTGGTCGGAGAAGCTCAGAGACCCAAGCACGTCTCCTGAAGCTCCTTCCACGACATCTCTTCGGCCACTTTTCTTGCTTTCTCCAAATAAAGCCTAAAGACCCCAACCTGTCACCCACACCCAATGCCTTCCTCACAAATCCCGCCCCCCCTCTGAGCAAGCAACCGACCTCCAGGCAGGGAGGGTTTAGTGCTGCTTCTTGGAGGCTGCAGCCAAGCTCCCTTCCCTTGTGCATGGCATGCGGAGTCCCTCAACGTCAGGTCTAAGCACTTCCTTGCCCAGCTGGTACATGGCAATGACGAGGTGACCAGAGTGCCAGAAAAACATGGTCTTCTTATCTGCTTTGGCTACTGCAGAAAAACAAACTGCAAGGATTGTTTCCTGGGTAAAACAGGGGCTGGCAGGTTGACAGTGTGGGGCAAAGGGAGCCTCTGTCTGCGGCAGGATTCTGTGTTGGCAGCCTCAGGAAGAGGAATCGATGAAATGTGCAGAAGGGTGGCTTGAGGTCAAGGCTCATGAGATGCCCTTGGAAGGCAGGTTATAAAGAAGCTAGGATGACTTTTTAAAATTACTATTTAACAACTGTTTTAGTAGCCACTGTGCGCCAGGCCCCTGCATTAGGTGCTCAGGATACAAAGATAAAACGTTGGAGGCCATTCACGTCTGGAGCTTGGTGTAATAATATGATATAGGTACGTGAGGAGGTGAGGTTCTCAGGGGAGAGGGTGTCAGGGAAGGTGTCTGGAGACAGTTGAATGTGAAGAGTGAAGAGGTGCCAGGCAGATGAAGCCTGGTTCTCAGCCCTGGCCACACATTAGAACCACTTGGGGAGCTTGTCAAACACCAAGGCTCCATCCACACATCCAACCAATTGAATTAGAATCTCTGGGGTTAGAACCCAGGCATCGATATTGGGAATTCCAAAGTGGAGCTGAAGTGGGGACCACTGTTTATGTGGTGATTTGTGTCTCAGGTTTCGGAAGAATGGAATAGCTAAGTGGATAAATATTGTTGGCTGGTCGGTCGGTCGGTCGGTTGGTTGGTTTTTAATATTGAGCCTTCTTATTCACTCCTTCTAGAAGGCCATGAGAATTGCCTTTCAGATTTGGGTCCTGGAAGGAGCAGGATGAAGGGAGGAGGGAAGGCAGGAAGAGAGAAAGGGAGAGGAGGAGTTTGGGGCTGTGGCATCTAAGCATTTAGTGACATTGTCACAAACCACGCCTCCCTTACTGCCAGGACCTCCTGCAGAATTCCCCCAATTCCATGTCTGGAGTCTCCAATAACCCCCAGGGGATTGTGGTCCCAGCCTCAGCTCTCCAGCAGGGCAACATCGCCATGACAACCGTCAACTCACAAGTGGTGTCAGGTCGGTGCAGGGGATTGTGGGGGACACTCCTGGGAGGAGAAGGGGTGGCCCCAAGGGGGCGGGGGGCAGGGTGCTGTACAATCTTAGGAAGTGGGAGGGGTGCCCCCTGCCAAGGAGGAGCTTCCAGCTCAATTTCTTGACTAAAGAGTTCTCTGAGTTTATCGATGGCTCGCACCAAGATCTGATTGTGATATTTTGGAACAAATTTGGGTCAGAGTCTCATGAGCCCCTCAAAGACCAAGTAAAGCTATTGTCCCTGCCCCCAAAACACTTCCCACCAGAGGCTCTGCTCTCTGGACCCCATTCCCATCCTGCCCCCCCGCAACAGGGACTTGAGTGCCTCCAGAATAGAAGGTGTTTCCATGGGAGTGCCAAGCAAATTGAAAACCCTGCTTGCCCTCACTCCTACCCACCCCCGTGGCAGGGGACCCAAAAACTGGTTGTCTCCTCAGGTGGAGCCTTATACCAGCCGGTTACCATGGTAACCTCCCAGGGTCAGGTGGTCACCCAAGCAATCCCCCAGGGAGCCATCCAGATCCAGAACACACAGGTGAGTGTCCGTACACAGGTGTGTGCGCACGTGCATGGTATGGGGAGGGCGACCGTAACCATTTACTATCCGCCAGGCCCTTTACACCAGTGACTCCTTCAATCCTCGTTATTCCTCTAAGAGGTATCGTTACCCCCGTTTACATATCGGAAGCTGAGTGTCAGGAAGTCCTAGGATTTCCCCACCTCTCGGGGTTATGTCAAAGGATCCTGCACCTCCCACTCCTGGCCTCTACCCCAAGCCACCCCGCAGCTCAGTGGGATACAGCGCGCACACAAGTAGGGAGAAAAAGAGGATCTGAAGTCAGGCCTGAGATGTGACATTAATTTGTCATCTTGGATAAGTCACCTGAGCCTCAGAGTTCTTATCCCCAGAAGGGGGGTTAACACCAACTGCACGCAGCCCTCCTACCTTCAGGGCTGCTGTCAGTGCTCACCATGGGAATGGGTAGGAAGGTGCTTTGCAAACTGTAAAGTAACCCAGAAATGCTCATAACCAGTGGATGGTCTCTGGCAAGTTTGTCTCTCCTCTACCGTCTGCATGTCCCTGTTTCCTTTGTGTCCTTTCTCATCCCCTTCTCCCGCACCCCCTCCCCCTCCTTCTTCCCATTCTCTGAGGGGCTGGTGCAGAGTGAAAGGAAAGGTGGCCTTCCTGGGGCCCTAAGAACCAGTTGGGAAGGGGTTGGCAGCGAGCCTGCCATCACTATGGCAACAGGTCCCCGGCTGCTGGCCCGCCAGGCTGCTGATGCTAATTTTTTCTCCACGTGCCCTGAAGGTTAACCTTGACCTCACCTCCCTCCTGGACAATGAGGATAAGAAGTCCAAGAACAAACGAGGAGTCTTGCCCAAGCACGCCACCAATATAATGCGTTCTTGGCTCTTCCAACATCTCATGGTGAGTGTGTGTGCGCTGGGGGTGTGGAGTTGCAGCGTGGGGTACGAATAACCCCCCAGGGTCCAGACTCTGCTGTCACCCCCGGATCTTCAGAGGGTGTGACCCCACAGAGAGGCTCTCCCAATAGGGATCTCATCTTCCAGAGGCCAAGGCAGATGAGAGGCTTCAGAGGGGCCTAAAGCTGGGAGAGGCTCTCTCCAGGACTTGCTGCTGCCACGAAAAAGTGTGATGCCAAATGAGGGAATGAGCACAGATTTATTCTGAAGGGAGCACTGGGCAACGTTTCATGAACGGAGTGAGGTTCTGTGGGGCCAGGACTGTGTTTCCTGCGGGCGGCTGTGCATACTCCAGCCCCTCTCCCATGGAAGAAAAGGGTGATCCTCAGCCAGGGCTCTTCTGTTTCCCTGGAGTCCTCGCTGCTGGGGTAGCAGCAGATGTGTGGCCCTTTTCTCGGTCTCTCTGATCAGAGCGGCCAGATGAGGCACAGGGCTGGGGAGCGGTGGCTGCGACCACCAGGTCTGGAGGAGCAGCCCAGGGAGACGTCTCCTTCCTCATGTAACCAGCTCAGCAGGTGCGGAACAACTGCCTCCATAAGCCTCTACGGCCACTTCCATAAAATGGCGATAAAGCCTTGGCTTTAAATGTAATGTCCGTAAAGAGCCTGCTGTGTGCACTCACATGATGGCAGCTGTGTGCTGTGTGCAGTGTTGGTTGCGACAGACAGGACTGTGGTTGAACGTCAGGAATGAGATCAAAGCTATAATCCCCTGGCATCGTTCAAGAGTTGTCACAATAAATGAAGGCCAATGGCCATGTCTGAGCTGACCGTGTAGGGTGTGTGTACATGTGCATGTATGTGTGCGTGTGTGTGTGCACCCAAGGTGGGGAGGTAGATTCTGGAAGCACCAGCAGGCTTCCAGCAGTCTGCGAGGTCTTGGCCTGGCATGGCGGTACAAAGATAGATGGAAAACAGATACCAAGGGACTGTCTTGGCCTGTGAGGAAGAACCAGGAGTGAGGGAAACTCTTTCTGAGGAGGAAGAAATCAAATGGATCATAGGAATTAATCAGTCTATCAATCAACAACCCTTTATTTGAAATATGAGTACCTCCAGAAGCCATGGCGCCTGAGCCTGGGTGCTCAGATGTGGGCATCCTAGGGACTCTGGCCTGGAAGCACTAGGCCCACATACCCAGAATTGCTCCATGGTGACCAGTGTGGGGCCGGGCCTCTGAGTCTCCCCACACAGGTCCACCCTCCAGCTCTAGGGTCTTGAGGCCTCCTCAGTGCTTTGCTGAGGAAGCACGCTTTGAAAGCACCAACTAGAGAACAACCAGGAACCTAGTTTGGAGAGGAGACTGGAAGGCCTAGGGTCAAGGTGAGGGGATGAGGTTGGAGAGACTCTGAGATCCTAGTGATGAAGCCAGGGAGCCAGGGCCAGGTCCATCCTCAGGCCTCTTGGGAGCAGCTCTGACTCAGTGGCTGAAGATGGTGGCAGGGATGTCCAGGCCTCCTGCCTGTTCTGGTTCTCCACACTGTCAGAGAGCCCCAGGGGCCCAGTGGGCTCAGTGTCCAGCTACAGTTCCCAGCCCCACCCATGGGAAGAAGGGCTCTCGGGGAAGGACCTGTTTCTGTGCCCTGGCCCGTCACAGCCAAGATGGCAGCAGCTGGTCCTCTCCCCCCACCCCCAGCCGTGGGTCCGTGGCAATGGTGTGTGACTATAGACTGTGGGTGCGGTGGAAAGCTCATGGGCTCCTGAGGCAGCCAGACCTGAGCTCAGATCTAGACTTAACTTCTCACTCTGTAACCTAGACACACTCACACTCAGGAAGCAGCGAAGTTAACGCCAAGACCTCACACACTGAGGTGCTTCACAGCTGTTAGTCCCTGTCCTTCCTGCCCCGCCTCCCCAACCCCATGCATTTTTGAAGACTGATGTGAACCCACCTATAGCCTCACTTCTGAAGGGGAGAAAAGGCAAGCGTCAGAGGAGGAGGATGACCAGACCAATTCCCCTGCCCACCAACCGGGGCGCCCAGGCCAGCACCTTGCACTGACCCCCATCGCCCGTGCGGGGCTCCTGCCTCAGCCACTTCCCACTGTCCCTTCGCATCTCACCCCTGACTTAAGTCTTAGGCTGAGACTCAAGGGTCATCCAATAAGCCCCTCCTGGCTGTGCTCCCCTCTGACCTTGGATTCCAGGTCACATCCCGCCCTCTTGGCCTGTTCCTGCTCAGCGCCCCTCTATAACTTAATGTCATTTCTTTCCCCTCCATGGCCACTGCCAGCCTGCCTGGGGAAGGCAGAGGAAGGTAGAGGTGAAGAGAGAGGGGGGAGTCGCTGAGCATACAGCAGAAGAGAAGGAAGGGCCCCAATCAGCTCTACAGATGGGCCCGGGAACCCTGGAGAGGGCTTGCTGAAAAGCATGAGTAAGACTTTCTGCCCACACCCTCCCACCCCTGGACCCTCTCCAGCTCAGAGTGCACTCAGTGCGGATACTATTAATAAAGCACTTAACATTGGCAAAGTCCTCCCCCAGCTAATGCCTTCCTCACAGCGACCATCAGGAGAGGACAACGGAGTGACCCGCAGGCCTTTAAAAAAAAAGTTACAACTCAGAACCTGTGGACGAGCCAGGGAAGGGGATGGGGAGAAGTCCAGGCTCTAGCGACACAGCATGGCACAGCTGTCCTCTGCAGGCCCAGGCTGGGCCATGGGTCAGCCCGGCTACCCAGATATCGGTGGGTGCACAGGCGCCCAAACCCTAGCTCAGGAGAGGCTATAAAGACTGGGTGACAGGGCACAGCGAAAAGAAGGCAGGCCTCGAGGCCAGACAGACGGGTACGAATTGAGGCCCCTGCCACTGGCTGTGCAATCTCCCTGCATCTAAAGAAAAAAGATAATACCCGTTTCCCGTGCTTATCAAAACTAAATGAAATAACACAGATAAAGAGCCAAACCTGGCACATAGTCACATTTAAGAAACGTGAATCCTCTTTGAACTTTCTAGAACAGAGGACTAAGAGCGAGTTCTTGAGACCAAGGCCCACGGTTTGTGAAAATTAGAGGTGGACGCTGGACCTGTTGTTCTGATCTATAAACACCTACTGAAAAAAAATATATATATATAAACACCTACTGATTTTTACCATCATTTGAGCCTAAAAATATTCTGATGAAGACTGTTACTTACCTGTTCTGCGTATGTATATGTGGGTCAAACGTACATGTCTCATGTCTCTGACTTCTTGTGGATTGCTCCAGAATGGGGATCATACATTATACCTCTTATGTGGGCCCTAAAGATTTGATTCCCAGAGTGTGCACCTTTATAGGATGTTACGGGCATTGCTCCTGGTACAGGGTAAAGGAATTTGGGAAAATCTGAGTTATACAAAGTTTAGCTCAGTTCTTGACTCTTAGTGTGCTAGGGAGGGGCATTGCCAATTCACAAGAGGGGGCATGGTCGGAAGCTTTCCCTAAACATATTTGGTTACTCAAAGCCCCTTCCCCAACCCCCTCGTTTGCACTGTCTCTTTGAGGAACAACTCGGAGATAGTAGCTCTTGGGAAATAGAATTCTGCAGTAACACCGTTATCTGCACAAAGTAGCTGTTCAGTTTTAGGAGAAAAGGGTAGAAAAATGCATGAGAAAGGACAGATTTCAATGTGTTGATTTGTTCGTTGGAAAAGTTGGCCCAAGAAAGGCACAGCCATTAGAAAGATACATTTTATTTTAATTTAGAAGATATGCATATATATTGATTTGCTAATGTCTTGATACAGGGCCACAATCTTTTTCTGATGAGACGTTGTCCTTTTACTTGCACAAACCTCTCCCATAATAGAACATCTATAAATTCCGTCTTTATTTAACATGGGATAAGAACTTTGAGGTCTGGGAAGTAATCTGGCCAGGGGATCTTTCTAGATTTTTGTTACGTATTCCAACCTCTTACATTTGTCTCAAGATCCTCACTACAGGGCATTTTTTAAAGAAATTGGAGTCCCCAGTCTCTCCAAAGCATTCCACTTCGTTTTCTTAGCAAGAATAACTTTCTTTTTGCATTTATATTTCATTGGTTCCCAGAATAAATTGTACAACATCACACTAACACATAAAGCTGGCGTAAACCAGTCTGGATACACACGCTGCGGACTTCCTGATAAGCAGATAGAGGGTCTGATGAACCCCCTACACAGTAGCCTATTCATCCTGAGCACCCAGGACAATGTGGACGGCAGTTGTCATGGTCTGCGGAAGAAATGAAGAACATTGTAAATCTACAGTCTCGGTTGGTAGGGGTTGCTTATTCAAACATCTGTAGTAAATACTAGTTTTTCCCGTTGTCTTCTTTCCCTCTGGGAGAAGTTAGTATTCTTTGATTCCTTTTGTCCTGAGTCTGAGGCTTCTTGTCATTTCCACTCTCGTGCGGCATGAGGAGCTACCAAAGTGGATTCAGAGGACGGAATGCTCTTGAGATGGAGCTTAAACCCCAGAGCCCTTTTGCTGTCAGGCTGCAGTGAGATTGGGAAGGTTTCTTCCATTAGCTGCTCGCTGTTGGGTCCCTGAAGAATCCAGTGATATTTTCTTGCTATTGCTTTTTGGCTCAAAGAGGCCAAACTCCTGCTGGAAGCAATAACTCCATAGCAAACCCAGGCTGGAGGAGAAAACCCTGCAGAGGGTCCTCTCCACGGGACGGGGAGGGAGAGGCACCGCTCTTCCCTCCCAGCTTCTGCCTCCATCCCCTCTGCTCCGGATCCCAGCACCCCAGGCCCTGGCCGGGCCATTCTGCTCATTCCCACCCGAAATATGACTGTTCTCTGCACTTTTGCCACCAAAGCACAGAAGCAACATTCTAGAATATTCTCTGCATGTTGGGAGATCCCAGAGAGGAAACCAGTCCCCAGCTGGCCCTGCTGCACATCAAAGCAGCAGCTCTTTCACTGCGCAGGCCAGATCCAGGCTAAGCGTCTTCCAGCATCATCTCCTTTAATCCA